CCTAAAAAGCGTTTTAATCCTTTCTCTCCACTTGCTTTACTTCGTTATCCAAACTTATCATTGACTGTATTTTACATAAGTATTATTTTTTCTGTGATATATATCCAGAATACCCTCGTTCCAAGAACTTTTTCTTCGAAATTTAATCTGTCCACTTCTAACATCGGTCTTGTGCTTCTTTCTCCTGGTCTTGGATACTTATTGGGAAGTATGACCTCTGGGTGTTATTCGGATTTTTTATTATCTAAAATTAGTGCGAAATATGGTGATATTTATCCAGAAATGAGAATAAACAGTGTTTGGTTTGGTTCCGCGTTAGTTCCAGTTTCTATTTTAGCCTACGGATGTTTGATTGTGAAGAATGCTCATATTGTTTTTCTTATATCATCTATGTTTTTTTGTATGTCACTTTTATATTATTTCCACTCTTTTTATATCTAAATTTAAATTTTTTTTTGTTTTTTTTTTTTAATTGTAGTCGGATTTGGTGCATTAATAGTATTTAATTGTATGTCGACATACTTAATCGACGCTTTTCCTGGTCGAAGTGCTTCAGCTATAGCAGTAAACAATCTTTTCAGACATATGGCTGCTGCAATAATGGCTATTATTTCGATACCACTTGAAGACGCGTTGGGCACCGGATTATTGTATTTTCTTTTGGCTGTGCTTATTTTTTTGTGCACTTTCTGTATAGTGATTGTATATTTTAAAGGGAAAAAGTGGAGAGAACATTTTCAGAATTAAATGCTTTGTATTGAATTAATAATAAATTTTGGCAAAAAATCAGTATAAAATTACATTTTAAAAAAAATAAAAAAATCATTACCGTATACTAACCCTTAAAATTTTTTTCTAATTATCTATACAATAATTTTAACTTGCGTACTAACCTATACATTGAAAAATGATACATATAGTAGGTTAGTGATGTCCAAAAAATTTTACCATTTCGTGTAACCCGAGCTTCCGGGCTTAATTAATTATGCCAATCTTACTATAAACCCGCTAACCGATGTACTAAGTAAAGTTGCTAAGATCGTAATTTTGCTATAATATTAGTTAGCTTGTATTAGGTTTGTATTAGTACTTCGCAGGTCCGATCCGAGGTCCGAATCTGAATCGTCGATCGAATTCCGGAAGCTCGGGTTACACGGAATGGTAAAATTTTTGGGACATCACTAACCTACTAACCTTTATACAATTACCTTCTAGATAATCACAAACTCCATATAATCACATAACTAAACAAACGCGAAAAACATAAGTTGTAAAATAAAAAAAAATTATTATAACAACTAACTTTCGACCTTTAAGTAAGTTTTTAGCATGAAATTTTATATGCAGAACATAATTTTTAATATCAAATACTGTATATAGAGAATTTTAGAGATACTATGGGCCCATATTTTTTTTGGTCAGTATCTCAGAATTTTTCTGACAAAAGAGTACTTCTTTTTTGATATTAAAAACGCTTCTATATAATCACAATTATAGTACCATTTCAACATATTTTTTAAAAAGTTTTTTTACTAATTTATTAATAAAAGAATTTATTTAAAATTAACCGGTAGTAAAATTCACCGGGCTAAGAATTTTAGAGTTAGGATGTGGTTTTAGAGATTTTTTTTTATATATAATATAATGTAGAATAAATATAAGGTTCCAATTTAAGTTCTTATGAGGTTTTTAGAAGTCCTAAATATTTTTACTTAACCTACCTAATCTCTGTTTCATAGTGCAGTTTTTGAGATATAGCACCCTAGTGAATTTCACCTCTAGTGAGTGTTAAAATACTCCTAATAAAAATACCTATTTAAAAAAATCACAAATTATTAATAGAAGTTATGTCAAAATTTTTACAAAACTAGATAGCTACATGATGTTATTATATAAAACCAAAAATAAAAACCTAAAAAAAAAACAGTTAATTATCAAAATAACTACTAAATGATTACTTTATCTTCAACTAATTACTTTTTTATCAATCAAATCAATCAAATCAACTAATATAATAGTTATTTGATATGAAATATATCGATTTGGGGTTAATATCTTGATAGTTCTAAATCCCAATATACTAAATCCTAAAAAAACAAAATTTTTAAAAAATAATATTCAAAAAATAAATTTTAAAAAAAATCTTGAAAAGTCATAATTTTAAAAGATAAAATCCTAAAAGACTATAACTCTAAAAAATTATAATCCTGAATTCTAAAAATAATTTATAGCTATTTTTATAAATTTTGAAATATCTAATAAAAAAAAATTAATCAAATAATTGTTTAACTAATTTAATAAGGGCAGTGTTATTTATCATCTGATTATTTTTTATCAGAGGCTTACCCCCTCCCCTCTCTTAATATAAAAAAAAATCAGGTTCTTATATATAATTTTAACTTTTTTTACCCCTCCCTCTCTAAAAAAATCACCTGATTTTTGTCACATCCCTAAGTCTTTGGTTCATTTGTAATAAACTTTTAGCCTATTAACAAAGTAACAAGGCAATCATTATTGTGAGATCAAATAATTTTTGATCATTACTGTTTGTTAAATACAGACCTATATTTTAGTTAATATATAAGGGTGAGTCAATAGAAATTAAGCAAATTACTTTTATAAAACTTTATATATTAATAACTTAACCAAACCTTTATCAAATTTAATAAAATTCAACTTTTGATCCAACTCTTTTTGCTAATTATCAAAACACAAATTTTCGTAAAAAACAAAACAACAAAACCCACAAAAAATACTTCAAGACCACTAGAAAACTAAACTCAGAGCTCTAAAAAAAAAAGAAAAAGACTACAAGAAATACTCAGTCTTTTAAGAGACTTGAGTAAAAGAAGCAAAACCAGCAAAAAAATAGAAGAAATCGTAAAAAATTATTGATATTTTTTGGCACTTTATGAATTTTGGAAAATTGGTCTTGACTTTAAATTATAAATCTGGTTTAATAACACAAAAATCACAACACATAATAGAAAATAAACAAAAGAAAAACAACAAAAACTATGTAACAAAGTAAACAAGCCATTAAACATGTGAAGCAAACAACAACAACTTTTGATAACAATAGAAAAACAACAAGTTATGTGAAGCAAATATTAACAGAATACCTAAAAAAAAAATTGAAATATCTGAAAACATGAAAGTGATATTAAAAGAGATTCAGGCCTTAATAGCAAAAACAATTGAGGAAGACATAAACGAATAGTTAGAAAAAATAATAGCAGAATATACTAAACAAAAGCTTCTTCCAAAAAAGATAGCCAATAAACAAATAAAAGAACTCTATGAAGAATTATGGCAGTATAACAGAAGAGAATTAAAATATATAGCATCTAAACTTATAAAAAGAGATCATGAGACTTTTTATAAAGCAATACAAGATAGTGAAGACCCTGTTAACTATATTATAAAAGAAGAAATATTTGGTATTTTGATAGAAGTAAGGTTAGGTAACAGAATAAAGAAAATACTAATAGATAGAAAAAAACAAGAAGCTAAAATAAAGTCAAAGCTAAAATAAAGTCAAAGCTAGAAACAGGTTAGAGCAAGAGACTTCAAGAACAAAAAAGAAGCCAACAAATATAGTATAATAAAGCAGCTTTGAAATCTATAGTATATTAATTTAAAAAATCTGTTAAGTCTACTATAGCAATCTAGCATAAGACAAGAATGGAAATTAAAA